AGTCTAATTGGCTCAGCCTGGATGAGCTGTCGGCCCCTGGTGCAGTCTGCCCCCCGTTGGCCGGGGGACAGGGTCATGGAGGACAAGCATGCTGTCTGAGTCTGGTTCTCAGGGAAAGGAAATTGTAAGCAGGGGAGACACTTCCAATATGCCTATTACACTGATGCTGGACTTGTTAAAATGCACATTCCTGGGCCCAAACCAGACACTTTACAAGCTTGCCTGGGGATTCTGATGCACAGCCAAGTTTAAGAATCATTAAGTTTGGATCTTTGCAAAGCAGGATTGTACAAACTCTAGTTGTCATCATTTATTATTCATAAAATTAGCATTCAGGACCTCGTGGTACACTCGTGACCTTGGGGAGGGGTTGGAAATCGCGTTACTCTTTCTAACGAGTTATAGAGATGTTGTGATGAAAAGCCAGAGTGAGACCATCAGGATTCAAAGTAAGAAGTGCAATTACAACATAGAGGCACTAGAGGGCGCGCTAGCAACTGTCAGCACCAAGGATGCGGGAGGCAGAGTCGCCTCTCTGCGGAGACCTGGGGTTGAAAGACGCTAGTTGACATTCCACTCTTGTGCGCGCGCTTCTGTGCACACACACACACACACACACCACCTGCCGAGGTCAGAGGAAGGTCCTCGTCGGGTTCCTTTGTCTTCAGCACGGGGAAATATCACTCTACAAATAGTGCTGTAGCTCTAATTGGGGCTTCTCTGCTGTTTGGCTGCCTGATTTGGGGCCAGGCTCCACCCCTTCTGGCCTCGGGGTCCCCAGTGAAACTGCAGGGGTCAGGCTCTTCCGAGAGACAGTGGTCAGTAAGAGTTTTGCTTTGTGCCCGTTTGTGTTGCTGTCAGTCACTTCTGCGGGCTTTGGCCCTGCCACCAGGCTGTGAGGTGCGGTAACGCAGGGACCGTGTGTGGCTCACGCCGGTGGCCCCTGTTGTGCCTGACACGGAGAAGATCCTGAACAAATGCTCCAAGAGGGCAGTGTGGGGCCAGCTGACGTGGGTGCCTGCCCCCACTGATTCTGCAGGACCCTGGGCATGTTATCTCACCTCTTTGGGCCTCTGTTTCTCAGCTGCAAAACGGGCAACGACACCCACGTTGGGGTGTGAGTCTCAGTCTGCACCACTTTGTTTTTCTGTAACTGAGCATCATTTCTAATTTGAACTCCTACTCTGCCAGGTGGCAGAGGTCACTTCGAGCCACGGGAGGCTCCCCTTGCCCTTTTTTGGGGGTCGCATCTCAGGTCCAGTGGGCTTAATAGTGCCGAGGCGCTGACGCGGGTACGCGGGTCTCCACTGACCTCACCTGCGCGGCCGAAGACCCGACCGCCTCGGTCATTATCGTGTAGTCCTCGGTATCTGTCAGAACGGCCTGGTGGCCTAAACACGGGGCACACTTTCCTCCCGCTCCTATAAAACCGTCTAGGAAGACAGTCCTGGGTTAGCACGGCCGCGCCACGGTGTCTGTGCCAGTTCCCTCCGCCATCTGACCTGCCACGGCTCCAGCTGTCCAGCCCGCACTCCCGCAGGCGGGAGGAAGAGGCGCTTCCTTGGGGGTAGCACAGGACACACCCACTTAAAGCCCATTGGCCAGAACTTATACACATGACCACATTCAGTTGCAAAGGAGCCTGGGAAATGTAGTCTTTACTTTCGGACCAGCATTCCGCTAAAAATTAGGGTTCCATTACTAATTGGAGGAGGAGGAGGTGGAGAATGGACACGGGGATGACTAGCATAGTGCTCAGGGGCGCAGGTCTCCACTGCTCTCAGAATTTCTGTCAACTTCTCCTACCCAAGACCTCGGCTTGAGGCTGGGCGTTGCAGGGAGAAGGCATGGAAAAAATGAGGTCCCCTCCCTCTCGCTCTCCCCCCAGGACACAATAGAGGCTCAACTATTTCTTTAAAAGTATTTTTACTGCGAAATATTTTAAGCCTACAGGCAAGAATAAAAAGATAATACAATGAACATTTGTGTACCTGCCAGCCACCTTTATCAAATCTTGCCGTTTCCGTTATTTGCTTCAGACTTTAAGAAATTAAATATCACAGATACAAGTGAAGTCCTCAGACTTCTTCCTGAATCCCTTTCTCCACTTCTCACCTCAGAGGTGCCACCATCCTGAATTCAGTGTTTATCAGTCCCTTTTATGTCTTTTACTCTTCATGCAAATTTATGTATCATAAATATTACAGAATATTGTTTTACAGACTTGCTATAAATGGCTTCTTACCATATGATTCATTGTGCAGTTTGCCTTTTGCTGTCAGCGTTGTCTTTGAAATGTATCCACAATGGCGACTGTAACGTTCCCTCAGCCATTTGGCTCGGCTGGGTCCTATAAGCGGACTATGGCTGTGGTGTGTGACTAGACTACTGTGTGTTTATACTTTTGATAGACAGTTAGGTTTTGTCAATTGTTTGCTATTAAATAATGCTGCAATAAACATCTTCATACCTGTCTCTTTATGCACATACACAAGAGTTTCTCTAAGCCAGTGGTTCTGAGAGTGTGGTCCTGGAGCGGCAGCATCAGCATCACCTGGAAACCTGTCAGAAATGCAAATTATTAGGCCCCACCCCAGACCCAGTGAATCAGACTCGCGGGTGGAGCCCAGCGACCTGCATTGTAATGAGTCTCCTAGGAGATGCTGATTCGTGCTAGAGTTTGAGCACTGCCGCTCTAGGGTTTATACCAGAAGCCAAATCGCCACATTTAGAAAAGGCACATCCTCAAATTTGCTGGATGCTGCTAGATTTTTCTCCAAAGTTTACACTCCTATTGGAAGTGAAACTTTTCTCTCATCCTTGCCAGCCCTTGATATCATTAGAATTTAAATTTTTCGCCAGTCGTTTGGGAAGCCAGGGCTCTGTTCACTTCTCAGTTGATGCTCTCTCTCTGGCCCTGGGAATCCCTCTTATGATTTCACGCTTTCTCTCCGTGCTCAGGTCCCTGCCAGGGCTACTGCTTTGGAAACACACAAATCTTTACTCTGCTCTCCTGTGCCAGTTTCTCTTCCCAGGGGCAATGAGGCCTTGCCACCCTTGATTGCTGCCTGGGGGCAGGATCCCAGGGTAAAAATTAGTTACTGTGTACCTCCATATGAGCCGCTGGACCACTCGGGTTCTCGGGTGTAAGCAACAGCAGTGGGAGTTATCAGCAGGATGTAGGGGCTCACAGAATCCAGGTGGCACGAGATCCGGCTTGGGGAAACGGCAGTACCCATCCCAGAGCGGGAGGGAGGGAGGAAGGGGAGACAGAAAGGACCCAGGCTGGATGAAGCAGAGTCAGCTCTGCCTCCACCATGAACCTTGTCCCCACGTGTCCCCTCGCTCTTTGTGTCCCACTCCCAGGACTCGGGGTGACTGGAGTGTCTGTCTGATTGGCCAGGTTTCCATCAACGCTCACCAACTGTCAAAACGAAGAAGGGTGGTTCCTCCTTGGTTTCTGTTCCAGGGAGCGGGCACCGGGATTTGCCCTTCAACAGGGCCTCCTGCAATGGGGAGTTCCTCTGAAAAGGAAGCTGGGGCACCAATAAGAATGGGGGAGGGGCTGGCAGCCAGAGAGCCAAGAACATCCCCTACTGGGTGGCCATGAGGTCAAGGGAGCCCCAGTGTGTAACCGATTTATTAACCAGTCTGACCTTGATGGGGTCTAAACATGAAACAGTTTCCCATTTCCCCAAGCGCTGCCTCTACGAGGCCGCTCGGTCCTTTTCTGTCCCTTAAGGACACTTGGTCACTTTCTGACTCTCCCCAGCTCCTACCCCCGGCGGTCTACCCTGCTGCAGGGGCACATGCCAGCAGCCAGGCTTTTAGGCGAGGCAGCAGCAACAGCACTTAAGCCTGCTTCTTCCAGGGGCCTTGCCACCGGGAGCCCCCCAGGCCTGCCGTGAAGGATGTGCAGGTTCTCGGACCGCTGCCTCCCCTCTCAGCTCTGCCCTTCCCGCCCCTGGGCTCTGTTCTTTGCTCAGAGGGAACAGGCAGATCTGTGGGGCAGCCACACAAGCCCGTGTCCAAGCGGGGTGTGAGATGCTGGTCACCCCTTCTTGCAGGCACCCCCTGTCTCTGTTAGGGGTTCCCCTGAATCACACCTCACTTGGTTTGAGGGTTTAAGAACAGAGGGAGGCCACAGCAACCCTCCTCCCTCATGGCTTCCCCAGGCTGACAACTCCCGGCTCCCACGGGTCCCTCTTTCCAAGTGGTCAGCTTAATCAGAGACTTCCTGTGAGCTATGTAGAAGCTCTCTTTAGAGTCTAGGGTATTTTCCACCTCTTTCTTCCCAGCTTTCGGTCCTGGTTGCCAATTCTGGGGCAACAAAAAGTGCCTTCCCTCAACATGCTGTACATGATGGTGTTGGGAGCCCTTGATGATGGCGACAGCAGGGAACGGAGTATTGTTCAGAAACACAGCAGGAGGGTGAGGGTCTCCCTCAACCCCCACATGCGTATGCACTATACACACACTCAAAAATACACTTTTTTTAGTAAAGATTAGTGACGGAGAACTCCAAATAACAGTGGTTTCAATGAGATAGACATTGATTTCTCTCTCATGTAACAGTCCACACAGGGAGTCCAGGGCTGTTACAGCAGTTCCGCCTTCCTCAGGAACCCAGGCTTTTTAAATCTTATTTCTCCACCATCCTCAACACGTAGTTGCTACCTCATAATCCAAAATAGCTGCTGGTGCTCCAGGCATCATGTTCACATTCCACCCAACAGGAAGGGTGAGCGGATGACAAAGGGCATGCCCCTGCCCTGCAAGGCAGCTTTCCAGAAGTTGCACACACTGCTCTATCTTATACCCTATTGACCAGATTTTGGTCACATGACCATATCTAGTTGCAAGGGAAACTGGGAAATGTAGTCTTTTGTATGGTTGGCTACATGCTCAGTTAATATCCCAGTGAGATGCTCTGAGCTGCTGACATACTGTTTGACCATCTCTCTCTCCCTCTCCTCCCCCCACCCCCGTCTGGCTGGCAGTGGGAGCTGGTCAGGGGGGCAACTGCACAGGCTGTGTCATCTGCTCAGAGGAGAACGGCTGCTCCACCTGCCAGCAGAGGCTGTTTCTGTTCATCCGCCGGGAGGGCATCCGTCAGTACGGCAAGTGTGTGCACGACTGTCCCCCCGGCTACTTCGGCATCCGCGGCCAGGAGGTCAACAGGTGCAAAAGTACGTGCCTCCCCCTTGTCCTGTGCTCGCGTTGCTCTCCTGGGCCCCTCTGGCCCACATCCCACCTCTCACCCCAGCACAGCCACGGGGGAAGCAGGCGTGTGCCTGAGCCCAGACTCTGAGACACTTGCTTGGTTTCAGGCTGGCTCTGAAAGCCTAGGCAGGTCAATGCCCTCTCTGGTCTCAGCACTAATGGGGCAGGGGACCTTCACCTCTACCTTAGTTTGCTGTGTGGCCTTGGGCATGGTACTCACCCTCTCTGGGCTTAGCTCAAATGGGAAAAGGAGTCCTAACTCTAATTTTCCCTGTGACCTGGGACAAATCATGATCATCTCCTGAGCCTTAATGGAAATGGAGCACAGAGTCCTCACTCCCAGCCCAGACCTGCTATATGACTTCAGGCAAGTCACTCGCCCTCTCTGAGCCTCAGCTCAAATGGGAAAGAGAATCCTGACCTTTAAATTCAAATACGTTAAATTCACATATGTCCATGTTACCTTAGATGTGTCACCTGCCCCACTGAGCCTCAGTTCCATTGAGAAACGGAGTTGCCCTTGAATGCAGCCCAGGTTGACCTCGGACAAGCCTGGGCTTTCAAGGAGACACTGAGTCCTGACCCCAGTGTTGCAGAGATTGGGGCTGCTCAGAGGCCCTACCCGGGCAGCCCCCCTAACCGGGCGTGGCCCTGGCTCTGTTACAGAATGCGGGGCCACGTGTGAGAGCTGCTTCAGCCAGGACTTCTGCATCCAGTGCAAAAGGCGGTTCTACCTGTACAAGGGGAAGTGTCTGCCCACCTGCCCGCCGGGCACCACGGCCCAGCAGAGCACCCGGGAGTGCCAGGGTGAGTGGGGGCCTCCTCGCTCTGGAGCAGGGGGCTGGCGGGGGGTGTCAGGAGACCTGGAAGCAACAATGGTAGAATGTCACGTGGTCATGTCAGGTACACAGAGGAATCCTTCAATACCCTGGAACCATCAGAAGCACTGTTATGATGATTACTATTACTCCCGACATTGGCATCATTATTATTACCAAGGGAGGCAGCAGACAACGGAAGAATAGCATTGACTTTAGAATAAGACAGAACTGCGTTCAGTTCGTAGCTCTAAAACGTACCCATTAGTGACCCTGAGCAAGTCCCTTAAGCTCTCTGTCTCTCAGTTTCTCCAAATGTTAAAAAAGATTACAACAGAACATAGAACCCACCTCATTATGCGTGGGGGCAGGGGTTGTTATGGAGACTAAACGAGTCAATACAATTGAAAGTACTTGACACAGTCGCTAGCACACAGCAGGTGCTCACTACATGTCAGCTGTTGTTGTTATTACTGCTCTGTCTTCCTGCTGCTCCTTTTCAGACTCCTGGGTGAGCTCCTCTTTGGTGCTCTGTCCTATCATGAGGCTGGTCCCAGTGTTCTCACCTGAATTGTCTATCTCTGCCCACACATTCTCTCTAGGCTCATGTTTGTGGTCATCCCAAGAGCTGATGGCTCCTGACTCGCTGTCCCCAGCCTCATCGCTCCTTCAGCAGCGGGCCCGCATCCCCCCCCCCCGCCCTCTGGATGCCTCCTCCCCTCCCTCCCCATCCCCGGCCTGGTGCTTCCTCTGGGCTGCTTTTGTCAATGACCAGCTCCACAATCCATGGGTGGCCATGCTGGAGACATGGGCATCACTGTTGACTCCTCTTCTCCCTCTCCTGACATCCAATCCAATATCCTCATTCATTCACTCAAGAGAGATTTACTGGAGCGTCTGCTGTGCACCAGGCACTTTCCTAGGAGCTGGGGACACGCTGGTGAACGGAACAGACAAACCTCTGCCCTCACGGACAGGACATTTTAGTGGGAAGACAGAAGAGACACACAAGAATAAATACGGGTGTCACGTGGCAGACAGAAATTTGGCAGGGGAAATGAAGCAGAATAAAGCTCCCAACCCCACCCCACATCCCTTTCTCCCCACCCTCTGCCCATCGCTGGGACTATGGATGGCCTCCCGCCTGTCTACCTGCCTCAGGCCTCACTTCCTCCAGCACACGCTGGCTCTCATCCCAGCAGCAAGAGTGACTATTGCAAAGTGACAGTCTGATCAGGTGTCTCCCCTGCTCGAGGTCCTGCAGTGACTCCCATTGTCCTCCCTGAAGCCCTCCCAGGCTGTGGACAATCCGGTCCCCAGCTGCCGGTCTCTCCACCCCTATCATTTTTGCCTCCCCCATTTGAGTCCATGCTCTAACTTCCTGAGTTCTACGCTAGTGTCAAGGGCCGAGTCACCCTGGGGACTTTGCTGGGGTTATTTCGTTCCTCCTGGAGCACTGCTCCCTCCTGCCCCTCCCTGAGCCTGGCTAACCTCCCTGCACCTACTTCAAGACTCAGGTCAAGAGGCTCCTCCTCCAGGAAGCCTTCCAGGTCCCTCAGGCTGGGACCTGAGCCCCCATGACTGCATGAGCACTCTGCCCTTCCAGCCTGACTTCTCTGGATGATGGACTGTAGGAGGCAGACCCAGGTCTGTGTTGTCCCTGCTGCATCTCAGCACCCACCTCGGTACCTCGCCCGCAGCAGGTGCTCAGTCTTTACTTGTCAAATGAATGCATCCAGCAGAAGGACCACCATTCTAAGGGCTGGAGACCTGCCTACTGGGCCCCACGGGATCTCACACGTGCTGTGTTCCATTGTAGAGCCCCTCCCATGTTCCCCCAGCAGGCCCCCTACGTGCTCTAAGCCTCAGTGTCCCAATCTGCAAAAAGGGATATTAATAGCTGCCCCATTCTCTGGCTTCCTCTCAGGAACTCTTAAAAGAATCAAATGTGAAAGAAAATATATACTTATATATATTTTAAAATTATTACGTACTAAGGAGTTTTATGTCCAGGACTTCGGCTTTCCTCACAAAAGCACCGTGTAGCTTCCTCCTTCTGGCTGATCAAAAGCACATGATCAGGTTCAAAACCCTCGTGCGGCCTTCCAGCCTCACCTCCTGGCCCTCCGTCTGGAACCTCCACCCCGCCCGCGCTCCAGCTGCCCGTCCCCGAATCGCGGTTCACCGGGCCCCAGGCTCTGCGCGCTGGCCTGGGATGTGCGTCCTTCCATCTCAGTCTGATGCACTCCTCTCTCCCTTTAGCTCCTGTGTCGCCTCCTCGGGGAAGCCCTCCCCTTTGAGGCCAGTTGGTCACTCTGGCTTCTGGGCCCCGGCAGCCTGTGCGCGCTTTAGCACAGTGGTCCCCCTTTATTCGTGGGGGCTATGTTCCCAGACCCCCAGTGGATGCCTGAAACCGCGGATAGTACGGAACCCTAGATAGACTATGTTTCCTCCTGTGCATACGTACCTATGAATTTCTAAATGAGGCACAGTGGGAGACTAACCACAGTAACTAATAATAAAATAGAGCAATTATAACAACATACAGTAGTAAAACTTACCATAGAGCTTAGCAACCTGGGCATATGATTTTTTTCTTCCTTTTTAAGTCAAGAATGTTTACCTTTTCACTTAAAGGAAGCTTTTTACAGCTTCCCTTTGGCATATTCAAATTGCCACCATCACTACTCTTGCGCCCTGGGGCCATTATTCAGTAAAATAAAGGTGACTTGAACACAAACACTGTGACACTGCCACAGTCGATCTGATAACGGAGTCAGCTGCTAAGTGACCCACAGGCGGCTGGCACACACAGCGAGGACACGCTGGATAAAGGGATGATTCACGTCCCAGGTGGGATGGAGCGGGACGGTGCGAGATTTCATCGTGCTGCTCAGAACAGCATGCACTTTAAAAGTTATGAACTGTTTATTTTTGGAACTTTCTATTTAATATTTTGGACCGCAGTTGACCACAGGCAACTGAAACTGTGGAAAGCGAAACCATGGATAAGGGCGGACTACTAGAGAGCTCGCATCCAGGCCCTCCTAAATGGCTGTTGAACTAACTGTCTCCCCTCTGCCCCTTGTAGTAGCTTGTGAGTCCCTTGCATGTGGAGATGGTGTCCTCAGGGAACTGAACCTCAGACCCTGCCCTTGGTTCGGAAGGACACTCAGTGCCAGCTGACCCCGTCTGTCTGTCTGTCTCTTTCCCTCTCCACCCCACAGAGGAGTGTGAGCTGGGCCCCTGGGGCAGCTGGAGCCCCTGCACGTACCACGGGAAGACCTGCGGCTCGGCCTGGGGCCTGGAGACCCGGGTTCGAGAGGCCAGCCGGGCCGGGCAGGAAGAGGCGGCAGCCTGCCAGGTGCTGTCCGAGTCAAGGAAATGCTCCATCCAGCGGCCCTGCCCAGGAGGTGAGCACCAGCTAGGCACGCGGGGCTGCAGCAGGCAGGGCCCCTGGGTGACTCTGAGCGGCCTCAGGATGCTGCCTCCACTAATAGTACCTGTCAGGCTGCCTGCCAGTCCACCATTCGCCATCCCTTCCTGTGGGGTAAGCTTTGCCCTCCCCGCTGTCCTTTCAAAGGAGGGTCTTCTTTGCTGGGGTCAGTACCAGATACATTCGGAGGACTGAGCTTGTCCTTGACATCAGGAGTTCTCCACCCTTTCAGACTGACCAGCTCCCTTTTCATAACAAGGATCTTGGAACGCCCTCTTTGCTGCTCTGAAATGGAGTTCACAGATAACGTAGCCCTCTTGCGCAGGCCCTTGTTTCTTAAATCTGTATAGCACCCTCACTGTAATAGAAAAGAGGCTTCTGGCAGTGCTCAGGCCCTCACCAGAGAACTTCGTGAAGTGGGGTCGCAGTGGAGTGATAGACGCGGTCAAGGCCTTGCATGCGTAGCCGCGTTGACATCAGAAATGCAGTTTCCCAAGTGGCGACCAACTCTGAACAAAGTCCAAGGAAACTGCCTGATCTCTTGCTTGACAGCACCCTGGCAGCCCCAGAATGCTCAGCGAATGGGACAGTGTTCAGAAGCGCTTGGCATTCACACACAAGACGGAGTTCAGCTCTGAGCAAGCAGGTTTCTCAGCCACGTGAGGGTGGGGCCGGCCGCTAGAGAACTGGATGGGATGGGGACTCCTCTGTGGGGACAGTCCCACGCAGCCTCTGATCCCTGTCCACTGAATGCCACTGGTCCCCCCTCATGGTAGCAACCAAGATCACCACACAGAGTGAAGTAGCTCATGCTGACTGTGCACCGGCTGTGTGCTGGGCACTGTGCTAATTCTCTACATTCATTAAGTCATTTAATCTGCACAGCGACACCATGAGGTAGGGATTATTACAGTCGTGTGCTGCATAATGACATTTCAATCAATGATAGGCCACTTATACAATGGTGGTCCCATAAGATTAGTGCCGTAGAGCCTAGGTGTGTAGCGGGCTCCACGTCTAGGTTTGTGTAAGTGCACTCTGTGATGTTCGCACGACAAGATTGCCCGACGACACGTTTCTCAGAACGCATGCCCGTCGTTAAGCAACACATGACTGCATTCTCGTTTTACAGATGAGGAAATTGAGGCCAGACAGGTTGAGTCACTTGCCCAAGGGTTGCACAGCTAGGGAAGTATGGACCAGGAATTCAAACGTAGGTCTGTGTGCAAAGAGGAATCTAAAGTCCTGCTTAAGAGCGAGGGGCCACCCAGGGCCCACGGCTGGGAGGCGGCGGAGCCAGGCCTTGAACCTGGGGACATCCCTGGTTTCAGAAGGCCTTGTGTCTGGGTTGAGAGTGCAGATAGCAAATATGGGGAGCCAGGCCTTGAACCTGGGGACATACCTGATTTCAGAAGGCCTTGTGTCTGGGTTGAGAGTGCAGATAGCAAATACGGGGGGCCTCTGGGAATCATAGTAGGCAGCTGGGGACAGAGGGTGAGGTTGAAATGGGGCCAGAGAAACCAAGACCCCAGACCCAGGGAAGCAGCCAGACAGTCCGCTGCAGCCCTCGTGCTGTGGCCACACCTCTCACGGCATCTGCGAGCTGGTGGTGGTTGGCTCTGGAGAGATGGAGAGAGGAAAGCTCTTCCCCCAGATGATAATAATAATAATAATAATAATAATAACAGCAGCAGCAGCAGCAGCAAACATTCGGAGCGCTCACCATGTGCTGGGCACGGAGCTAAATGCTTTGTGACTACGACTCCTTTAACCTTCCCAACAGCCCTCCTGTGGGCTCCCTGCCTCACCCAAGTTCCAGCTCAGACGTCTCCTCCTCAGAGAGGCCTCCCCCAGCCTCCCCTACCAAGAGGCCCTTTCCATCACATTGCATCATAGCGCTTACATCTTCCTGATGTGATGGCGCTCATTCTTGTATCTGCTTCTTTAGTGTCTGTCTGCCTTACTAGAATGTGATCTCCCAGGAGAGCTAGCTCTCTGTCTGCCTTGTTCATGGCTGCCTCTCTAGTGCCTACAACAGGGCCTGGCACATAGAAGGTGCTCAGTTAACACTTGTTGGATGGGTGCATGGGAGGATAGATGGGTGAGTAGGTAGGTGGGTGGATGGGAGGATGGATGGGTGAGTAGATGGGTAGATGGGTGGGTGAATGGGAGGATGGATGGGTAGGTGGGTGGATGGGAGGATGGATGGGTAGGTGGGTGGATGGGAGGATGGATAGGTGGGCTAGTGAGTGGGTGGGTAGGTAGGTGGGTGGATGGGAGGGTGGATAGGTGGGTAAGTGGGTGGGTGGGTGGATGGGTAAATGGGCAGATATCAGGCAGGCATAGGGAAGGGATGGGGACCCACAGCCACTCACCCCATGCTCCCCCCTTCAAAGTTGGCAGGGGCTGCTCAGGCAGCACCCACGCCCCGTCTCCCCAGTGCTGTTCTCACCTGAGGGCCAATACCATCAACCCTGGAGCTAGAGAGGGAGCCTGGCTTCAGTGCCCCCTGTGAGCTCAGGGATGGGACTAGGGGCCCCAGAGGTGGGCAGCATGACCTAAGGGGATGACCCTAAGTCTGCCCTGAAGAGGGGGAGCCCTGACTCCTGGGGAGACAGGCACACAGTTGACACTGAAGAGATAAAATCACCCTCCCCTCCCTGCTCCCAGCTCTAACTGCCTCGCCCTGTGACCTTGGGAAGTGACTCCCTGAGCCTGGGTCTCTTTTGTTCAAGTGGCACACAGCTGCCTTGGGATAACAATGTATGAAAACAGCTGGGGTGTGGAGACACTTTGTAAACCAGAAATTTAGGGCTAGCTCTGCTCCCAACCATGCCTGGTCTTCTCACCTGTAGATGATAGTGACAAAGGGCACCTGGGAAGAGCATCCCAGGGGGAGGGCACAGCTGTGCAAAGGTGTGGAGGTGGCTGGACCGGCTGTGTTGGAGGGACAATGAGGAGGCCAGTGACTGGGGTAAAGTGAGCGAGGAGGAGGGGCTGAGGGGAGTGGGGAGGAGGGGGTAGGAGGGGCTGCAGGCCACGGGGAGGACATGGTCTTTTCTTTCAAGTGAGCTGGGAGTCACTTGAAAGTGATGCTAAGAAGCTCCACCCAGGCTGTGCCGCTGAGCAAGCGAGGCCCCTTTCTGTGCTTCAGTCATCTCATCTGAGAAATGGGGCTGATCAGGTGTTTGTGTTAGAAGCTCATCTGGCTCCGCTTTGGGGGGGCGTGGTGGGGGGGGGGCGGGAGAGGTCACAGCGGGGTCAAGGTTCCGAGTTAGGTCTGGGGTTTGCATCCACTCCGCCCAGTGGGCACTGGGTGAACTGCAGGCCTGTGCTGCCTGTCCTCTGGGGCGGGGCCCGGCCGGCGGCCTCCCGCGCTGTCCTGAGTTTAACGTACCGTACGTACAGAAGGCACTTGGAAGTGGCTGGCCTGAGAGCACCGGCTAAACGCTGCTGCTGTCGCTGTCATTTTGGGGGGCAGAGCTGGGCCCGGGGTGAGTGGGGAAGCTGGTGCGGGACCGCGGGAAGGTGCTGGGTCTCCAGCGAATTGCCCCCTAACCCGCGAAGCGAGTGCACGTGGTAGGGTCATGGGCCCCCACCAGGCCACCCCGAGTCCTGACTGGGGGTCCTCGGCGAGTCAGCCCCTCCTCCCCCGCTAAGGACTGAGAGAGGGGTCCGGGGTCCGCTGGGATGGGTTACCCGCAGCCCAACTCCAGCAAGGAGCGGGTGGGTGGTTCCGGCAGCCTGGCGCGGGCAGGGCACCCTCATCGCCTCCGGGCCTGGCTGGCCTCCGACGCCGCGCCTGTCCGTGCTCCCTTTGCAGAGAGAAGCCCGGGGCAGAAGAAGGGCCGGCGGGAGCAGCGGCCGCGCAAGGACAGGAAGCCGGACCGCAAGCCCGACCCCGACCGCAAGCCGCCCGTCAGGGCCAGCCAGCCGCCCGCCTGAGCGCCTGCGCCGGCCACCACCCCTCGCGGCCCCGCACCCCCTCCTCCGCCCCCGGTCTTTAATCCCACCTCGCCACCTCCTCGCGCTTTCCTCTGTCAGTCTACCTTTCCTGTCTTTTCCCCTTTTCCTGAGTGTCGTCCACCTCTCTTTTCCTCCCTCCCCTCTGTGCTCTCTTTCTCAGTTTCCGTTTATCTGTCTGCCCTTCTTTCCCTTTCCTCCTGTTCTTCATTGTGTCCTCTCTCTCTCCCTCCCTCTCCCTCTGTCTCCCTCTCCCCCCTCTCTCAGTCTCTCTCTCTCTCTGTCTCTCACACACACACACCCCATCTGCCTGCCCCGCCCCACAGCCACTCCCTCCACTGTTCTTTAAAGAGAGTAAACGTCTTTTTCTAGGCCTTTCCCTAACCCCGACCTGACCCCACCTTTGCAGAGCAGGGGTTCCCAAGGGCAGGGCCCGGGCCACCGCAGAGGCAGCGCCGTGAGTCCTGAGCACCCTGCGTCTGCTCCAGAGGACACCCCAGCACCCCGGGCTCTGAGCACCTCCTGCTCTGGCTAATCTGGAGGCCACTTCCACAGTGTGGGCCACAGGTCCTCTAGGAAGCCCCTGGAAGAGCCCAGCCCAGATACCTTCCTCAGCTGGCCGGAGAGGAGCCCCCCAGGGCCACGGCTGGACAGCCTGCCCTGTGCCCACCCAGTCTGCCCTCCTGGAAGCTGCCTGCAGCCCCCAACCAGTGCTCCCTTAGCGCCCTCCCTCTCACTGTTCCCTGCCCCCGCTTCCAGGGCCTAATGGACTCCCACGTCCTTTGGGCACCCAAGCGCTGCCTCAGGTGGGGCTGTCATCCCTGGGGGAACCACAGGCTCATCCTAGACGAGGCCGTAGAAGCTGACAGGACCACTCCATTCCCTACCCTGGCACCTCCTGCCCATGGTGCCCATGGGGAAACTGAGGCCTGAGAAGGGATTTGCCGAACGCCACATGGGGAAGCCAATTCCTGTGCCTTCCACCTGTTGGTCGCCCTGCTCAGCACATCCACAGCTGAGGGGGAACTTTGGGGGCCTCTGGGGAGGTGCTGAAGGAAGTTGTTGGGTCAGGAGCAGGAAAGATTCCCCATGTACCCACACCACCCTGACACCTGAGCATTTGTATTTCACCATGACACGGCACAGGCCAGCCGGAAGGGCGGTGGGAGGGTGCTCATGTTAGACGCAGCTTAGAAGTCAGTCTGTTTTCACTGCCTGTCATTCCACCAGCATAGCCCCTCTCCTCCTTGGCTCCCCCAAGTCCCCAGAAAGGGGTGCTCCTGATCTGTGCTGGTATTGCCGGCTGGCCTGAACCAGAGGGTTCAGCATCCAGGATCAGGAAGTCTGAGACCCGAGGGGCCCAGGGTGGCCTGGGGCAGGGGGCTGCGCAGGATGGAGGAGAGGCTAAAGGTAATGAAATGGCACTCCTCCACCACAGGAGAGTGCCTACCCTCACACCCACCCCCTGCCTAGCCCATGGGGATCCCCTAGCACTGCTTCCCGACAGACCCATGGCGGGGCTGACCCCCAAGGCCAACCTCACTCTCACTTCCCCCCTCGCCTCCCTGAGGACAGCTAGAGCCCTTCCTCGCCTGGCCAGGCCACCAGCTTCTCTTTGCAAAACTTTGTGCCTCTGAAATGCTCTGTTGTTGTTTCAAGACCACAGCATTTTTTTTAAATAAAGGGAAAAGAAAAATGAAACTTGCAAATCCTTCGTGGGCATCAAGCGGGTGTTACAAAACCATGATGCTTATGAGTTTGGAGTTGCCGAATCTAAACCATGTGGAGTGGTTTCCGCTGGAATGCTCAGGGCCGAGAGGGCCAGGGTGTGTCGGGGACTGTGGGGACCTCAGCTTGGGAATGATGCCAAAAGAAGAGGAGGGGCCCTCCGCCCCTCAGGCCCCTCTCAAGCCGGGGGCTCGGCCACGGGGAGAAGAGAGCAACACTGGGCATCCCCATCCCCAGGGCCTCTCATTCCCATAAATCACAGAAGTGGCCCCAGGAACCCATCTGTGCTCTGGAGGACATGTCTGAGGGGCCAGGGACATCTAGGAGGTGTGACAATCCCACCGAGCCATCTAAACACGCTGGGCTGCTGGTGAGAGTGGTCTCAGCATTGGGAGGCACAGGTTTGAGTCCCAGCCTGTCATGAGCAATCTGCGGGGTCTAGGCCAAGTCATTTCATCTTTCTGGGAGGAAAGTTTCCCCATGCAATGGATGAAGAGGAGGCACGACTGGATTACATCCATTGCCCCAATCTGGCTGGCCGATCAGCTCCCTCTGAGGAGCTTTTTAAAAATTCAGGTTTCAGGGCCCCACCCCAGACTTACTAATTGTAAACAAGTTTAGGAGCCGACTGAGAGCAAATACTCATTCCAGGACAAGATTAGGGAGTGAGCGGCTCTCTGGTGACCGCCAGCCCCAGAGTGCAGGGCAGCTAAATTTGAGGGGGCTGCAATTCTGCCTGACCTCAGGGCTCAAGGATCTGATTCTACAGAGTTTAGTGTATATATACTCTATATAGAGTTTTCTGATAAGACTCAAAGTCTAGTGTGTGGAAGGTTCTAAATTCTGCAATTCTAAGAGACCAAGATAGGAATGGAAGGTTCCAGTCCTACAGTCCCCTGGCCATGTTCTTTCCCTCGGGGGGCTTGGTGCTCTGTCCCCAACTGAGGGCTGTGGACCAGGTTTTGCTAAACGTTTCCAAATTAGGAGACGAAGTTCCCCCATGGCGTAAGCCCCTCCTGTCACCTTTGCATCTCAGGCGTCTCCTGCCCCCAGCTCCTACTCCCTTCCAATCCTGGCCTTTCCCACATCCCGCCCCCCCTCGAGGACTGAGGCGTTTTCCTGGGAAGGAGACCCTCCGTCTACCTGCCGGCGAAGCTCAGACTCAGGCTCCGAAGCCGGCGGAGCCCAGCGAGAGAAGGCGGCGGGGCAGAGCCCGGAGGGCGGTTCCAGCGGTGGCACCTCCGGATGCTCTTTCAGCGGGAGGGAACCGCGGCCTCGCGCGGGCTGAGGAGTTCCCGCCCGACCCCAGCTGGGCCACACCAGGGCCCTCCCCGCAGGCCCACCGCCCCCGCCCTGCGCCCACACGGTCCCCATCCCTGTGCCTGCGCCCACTCGGTCCCTATCCCTGCCGGACGCCACCCCGCGGCCCCGCCCGTCGTTCCCACTCCTGTCACTAGAGGGCGCCGCCCACCCAGGCACAGCGCAGAAGCCCGCATAGAACCCGGGCGCTTTTCTGGGGTCGGGGGACGTCCTCTCCCGGGGGGACCAGAGGCGGGGGAACGGCGAGGGACAGGCTGCTCCCGCCTCGGGCTGAACGACCACAGTTGCGATGGTGGCTTCGCGGAGTGGCATTCACAGCAGCGCAGAGACTGTCAGACCTCGGAGGTCCAGGACTCAGGCCCTTTCTTGCTCAGAGGGGAAACTGACTCTGAGGACACCAGTCCATCGTCCCACAGCCGGTCACCATGACTCCGCGGGGGGGGGAGGGGGGGGCGTTCCTGGTGACTCGTGGAGCATTATACTTCTCCATTTTCACTTGTAGGAAAATTTCAAACCATCCTATACGGTCCTTCCGATTCAGGAAACGTGTACTCTTATAATAACAAAAACAATAGTAATAATGATAATAATGATTAATAAGAATGTCCCGGCCAGCCCCAGTGCCCTAGTGGTTAAGTTGAGCACGCTCTGCTTGGGCTACCTGGTTCGTTCCCCAGGCAGGGACCTACACTGTTCTGTTAGCAGCCATACTGTGCTGACGGCCCACATACTAAAAAAATAGAGGAAGATTGGCAAGGATCTTAGCTCAGGGCAATCTTCCTCAGCAAGAAAAAAAAGTGTCTTATGTCCGTTGAGCACTACTATGTGCCAGACACTGCAAACGCTTTAGGTGCAATATCTCATTTCCTTTGCTTTTCTCTCCTCGATGTAGATCCAGTAACTACCATTTTTCTGACTTCCCCATGCCCTACAGTTTCACATCCTTTATCTCCTGCCACCTCCACAGCAACCTGCAAGCTAACTTACAGAAGAGGAAACTGAGGCTCGAGTTAAAGTCCTTCAAAATTCATCACTCATCTCCTCATCCACTCAATAAATATGCGTGAAGAGCCCACTGTGTGCCTGGTGCCATGCTGGGGGCTGGTGATAAGGGTCCAGGCATGTCCCTGGAGCTCCGGCCTGCAGACAACTCAGTCACGATGGTGTGATGAGGCCCTGCTCAGAGGTCAGATCCAGGAGGAGGATCCGTCCACAGCCCGCGGGGCTCCCGGAGCTCGTCCTCTAGGACCGGAGAGCCGGGCTGAGAACTGAGAAGAAAGAGGAGGCGTTTCTGAGACAGGTGGGGAGGGTCCCAGGCACAGAGAACGGCGTGTGCAAAGGCTGGAGGAGAGGCTACTCGTGGGGCTGCCGACCCCAGCATTTGCAAGCCTCCCAGGCTGCCAGACCCTGGGACGTGCGGACTCAGCCCTGGAGTGTGCAGGCTCCCACCCTACCCTGTGCGACCCGCAGCCCCCGCCACAGCCCTGCCTTTCCCCTCAGCCTGCCGCCCACACGGCGGAGCAGATCAGCCAGCCAGACCTGCGACTAGCGACGCCATCTGGGAAGTGGGTCCCCTAGCCTTGGCTGTCCTAGCCCCTGGCAGTAGGGTCCTCCCAGTGGAGGCCCCAGAGAAATAAGCCGTCCCGCTCTGCCCTGTCCTCACTCCTGATCCTCAGAGCCTGCGAGCATCCTAGGGTGGCTGTTGCTTCATGCCTGCAAGGTGGGCAGGTCTGCTCTGCAGCGACAGACAACTGGGACGGGGTTAATAGCTGCACCTTGATCCTCGGGGGGAGGAGCAGAGGAGCAAGGTAGGGAAGAACCAGACAGCAAGGCCGCAAGTCCCGTCTCCCCGCCAACCCACTGTGAGCCCTTAGGCAACACCTTGTACATCTCTCTGTGCCTCAGTTTCCCCATCTGTAAAAGGACATATTAAAAGTGTCCCTCAGGGTGTTGCTGTGAGGTTTAAATAAGTTGATACATTAGAAAGGGTTTTTATACACAGTAAGGGCTCAATAAAAGTTTCATATATATTTCATTTATTCACTCAACAAACATTTCTTAAGCACTGGGTCTGAGCCAGGAACTGTGCCAGGTACTTAACATTAAAAACTTAAACTCATCTTTCCGAGAGCCCTCTAAAGTGGATTTTATTATTATTCTTATTTTTTACAGATGAGGAATCTGAGCCTCAGAAAGTAAGTCGCAGAAAGGAACTCAAAACCTTGCCCTTCACCAGGTGGCCACTTCTTGAACAGGCACCGCGGGGCTGTCCCCGTCAGCCCAGGGCGATGAGCATCATGTGGGAGCAGCGTGTCCGGAGCTCCTCTGCTGTCTGAGCTCAGTGTTGCTCTGGAATTCATCTGGAGGAGGAGCTCCACATACACACACACCGGAAACGATGGTCAACCTCAGTCAGATTAAATGACAATAAAAGCACACAGAGCCACCATTCTTCACCTATCTGATTGGCAAAAAAACAAAATTTGCAACACTAGGGCTTTGCCCCGGCTGTGCATGAGCTGGCGATCTCCTACCTTCCTGGGGGAGGGGCGTGGTCCAACCTCTGCAGAAGGCGAGTTGACAGCTGTCAGAATTGCGATGACATGTCTCCTGACCCAGCACTCCAGGGATTGATCCTCAGGTTAGCCTCACCCACGTGCGAAACGACAAGTGCCATGGCACACGGCTGTCCCCTGCAGCCTGCGTGTGATCATAGAAACCTGGCACATCCTGCAGGTCCGTGGGAGCTCTGGCTCAGATATGGTCTCCAGCACTCAAGGACGCCCTGCCGCCGAGAGCACCCGGAGGAAGCCGCCCAGGTCCTGATGCAGAGCCATCGCCGGGGCGCACGGTCAAGTGGAAAAGGCAAGTTGCAGAACAGGGCGCAGGGTGCGTGGGGCCAGGGTTGGAGCCGGTGGAGAGAGGCTGGCTTTTCCCTTTTGTTCCTTTTGACTTTTGTGTGCGTGTGAGGAAGACGGACCCTGGCACTAGAGTGGATTATGGTCCACTGCGCCCTATGTCACGCCTCCTCACAAGGACAGTGACCGTCGCCTCTCAGGGCCCCTCCTGGGCCTGTGGGAGACCCTCTCTGGGCCACACACATGGGAGGAGGGTGGCTGGGTCATGGGATGGAGCCCTGCTCACCGGCCCTAGGTCCTGCACCCGTCCAAACGCCCAGCGGAACCCGGCACTCCCGTCTCTCACACCCTCGCTAACACTCGCTGGTTCCCGACTTCCCAGTTTGAGCCAGTCCAGGGGGCAGGTACAGGGCTTGGCCCACCTCACTGTTTAACTCACGTTTCTTGGAGGTTGTACGGGCATCTATCACACACGGGGGGCTACATTCGCCCCCACTTTACAGGGGTGCCATTGAGGCTTAGCTGCCCAAATAGCAGAGCCCTCACCTCGGGCTGCCTCTGACAGCAGCAAGAACGTATCGTCGTCCACTCCGTTAATGAATCTTTGCTGGCTCCTCTGTGATCTCAGGATCTCCTGGGAGCCTGCACACAGCGGGCTCAGGGAGGGTGGGCCTCGCTGCTGGGTGGGCCGGGACACGGGGAGCAGCCTCCAGGGATGGCCAACCAGCCCGCTGACGTTGGCAAACACGGAGGAGGAATTAGAAGGCCAGGAGCCACCAGGAA